CCCCCCCCTCCAGCTCCCACCTCTGGCCTATCGAGAAAAAAGAAAATAAAGTATGTGCTACCTACTATGTGGGGACAATAAGGCTTCATTCAGGGCCCGTTCACATTTATGCTGTGCATTCATCACACGATTCTGTGCAATTAACACACAGTACAGCGCAACAACCTACCATGCATTACAGTGCAGCAGGTGCACTGCGTTGCATGCACTACTTTTTTTAACCTTAACATACGGTACCACATGTTGTGGGTGGTCGATCGCATTACAGCTAGGAGGTGTGTTTGGGGTGCCATTTAAATGAATGGCAACACCACACACCTGCCTCACAGTAACAAACGGTAGGTGTATCGCACAGAACCGTGCAGTTAACGCACAGCATAAGCGAGAATGGACCCTCACAACTACAATGTCTATTGGCTCGGCCCTCCACAACAGTCCCAGTTTCTCATGTGGCCCCTTGAGAAATTGAATTGCCCACCCTTGGTCTACCCTTAAAGTGACATTAAACCCTCAGATTTTTGTAACATAAACCAATACTGTAATGTGTGCCTTACTGTAATCCATGGTTGTTTCCCTTCTCTTTGCTGCTCTTCCTTTTAAATCCTCATGTCTTCTCATGCTGGGGGAGAACTTCCCTTTGCAGCTGAGTGCCTCTTCCTGTAGTGCTGGCTCAGGTTGCAAACCTACACACAGACACCATGTATCCATTTCAGAGACAAGGCAGTCTGTTGCAAAACAGAAGTTCTGCCCAGCATGAGAACAGATACAGATTTAAAAGGAAGAGCAGCATAGAGAAGGGAAACTACCATGGATTACAGTAAGGCACACATTACAGTATTGTTTTATGTTAAAAACATCTGAGGGTTTAATGTCACTTTAACAAAGGGTTAATGATCCCGAATCTTGTCTTCTTTCATTGTATGGGAGGAGATGCTCAATCTGTCCTTACCCATTCACACCACATGCAAATTATCTCCAGACCAGACCAGACCGTTTCCGGGCCCAAAATGCATCCTAATGTATCCCTATGCTATTTCTGGCCTCTGTTCACACCACTGCAGTCCATTCCAGACCAGAAAATGCATGTTTCATTTTGTCTGGTCTGGAATGCACTGGAACTGCAGGCAGGTTCACATCATTTTCCGGACCAGATCTGGCCAAGATCTGGCCCGGAAAATGGTGTGAACCTGTCTTTCTATTAGGACAGTCAGAGTTTCCGGTTACTGAAATTGAGAGAGAAGCGTGCATAGGCCTGCAAAACAGAGATATCTAAAAGGTAAGAAATATTTGTAAAAACATTTTTAGATATGCTGCGTTAATAGGAATACATAACAAACATACAGGTGAAACTCGAATAATTAGAATATCGTGCAAAGTTCATTTATTTCACTAATGCAACTTAAAAGGTGAAACTAATATATGAGATAGACTCATTACATGCAAAGCAAGATAGTTCAAGCCGTGATTTGTAATAATTGTGATGATTATGGCTTACAGCTCATGAAAACCCCAAGAACCCCAAATCCACAACCTCAAAAAAGTAGATTATTACATGCAATCAATAAAACAAGGATTGTACATAGAACAATATCGGGCCTCTGAAAAGTACAAGCATGCATAAGTACTCAGTACTTGGTTTGGGCCCCTTTTGCAGCAATTACTGCAATTACTTTTGCACGATATTCTAATTATTCGAGTTTCACCTGTATAGTGGGGGTTTTCTCAAATTTGCCTGTGAAAGTGGAAATATACTTTAAGGCAGGGGTGCCCACAGCTTTTTCTCTTGAGATCTACTTTTCAAATGACAAGCTCAATTAAATCTACCAACGAAAAAACACATTTATTAAAAAAGCAAGCACATTAAAATCATTACTGGGACAACTGCCTCTCTCTCTCTCGCGCGCGCTCGCTCCCCTGTATCTCTTTCTCTCTCGCCTGTCTCTCCTCGTGCTCCTGTCCCTGTCTCTCTCCCCTGTCTCTTTTCTCTCTCGGCTGTCTCTTCTCTCTCCTCTGGCTGTCTCTACTCTCTCCTCTGGCTGTCTCTACTCTCTCCTCTGGCTGTCTCTACTCTCTCCTCTGGCTGTCTCTACTCTCTCCTCTGGCTGTCTCTACTCTCTCCTCTGGCTGTCTCTACTCTCTCCTCTGGCTGCCTCTTCTCTCTCCTCTGGCTGTCTCTTCTCTCTCCTCTGGTTGCCTCTTCTCTCTCCTCTGGCTGTCTTTCCTTACCTGCACTGCAGCAGCTTCCCAGGTCTCCTCTCATGTGCTGTCCTGTCCTCCTGCGGTGCTCGTCTGGCTGAATGTGGCCGATGCTACAGACTGGGAGGGGCGTCCTGCCCCGCACTGGTGATAGTGTGGCCGACACTGCAGACGGGGAGAGGTGTCCCGCACCTACCCGTCTGCAGCGTCTGACACATTCAGCCGCACTAGCTCTGGTCAGTGAGCCGATGGTGATCTACCAGTGTTTGCTTTGTGATCGAATGGTAGATTGTGATCAACCTAATGAGCACCCCTGTTTAAAGGCATCCTCCAAGCATATTATTTAAAGGATTTGTGTATATTCATTGTTTCCCCCCATTGTCACAAGAAAGGACCCTCTCCCCGCTGTTCTGTATTCACCTTTACTTCCCGATTGTCACTAGTTCAAGAAGTGTGGGAAAATCTCTCCAATGGACTCCCAGATAGCAATTAAAACCTGACAGGGGTTCTAATCCTTCACAACTCTTATCAAAAAGTAAAAAATTAATGTTTTGGCTGGACATATAATTTAAAAAGAAGATTTCAAGGAAAAGGTACAACAGTAGTACCTTTTCTTCGCATAGTTACCATGTTAGCGCGGTTGAAAAAAGACAGTCTATCAAGTTCAACCAATAATAAAGTAATAATCAGAAAATGAAAACTGATGTGCACTTTTGCTGTTCTTTATCTACATAACTCTGTAGAGTACTTTCCACCTTTCGCGAGCCTGCAAAGCAAAATGAGATTACCGTACACAGAGCTACACATAGTCATGGGACTCCTCTCAGCTGCCCCTGTATTCTCTTTTACTCTGCTGTTGGAATTGCCCACAAGCGCCCAGGAGTCATCCGACAGTCCAGCTCTGCGAGGAACATAGATGGCAGCATGTTACTCAAGCCACAGAGAGTCTAATGACTACTCTCAGCTGTCCTGCACTCTATCCCTATTCAATGGAGTCACCCACAAGTACCCAAGAGCTATCAACCAACCAAGGGCTCTCCTAGGAACTTGCCCAGAAGAGCTTCACATTAAATTCAGTAGTAAAAAAGAGTTTAAACTCACGTACCCCCTGCGGAGCGTATGTGCCAAAGCCAATGACTGGCATCTTGTTGCCATCGTTCAGCAGAACGTAGGAATCTTCCTTAAGTGCCATCTCCCTCCTACCGTGTGTCAGCAGCCAACTGCGCTCTCTGCACTGGAGACTTCACTGTATACTCATTATTTAAAAGCTGCCTTCCAGCCCCTCCTGTTCAATATGGTTATTGTCTGCAGAGATTAAGCAAGCATTCCTTGCAGCCAACCATAACAATATGGGTTGGGGGACGGACCTTTTCCAGCTGTAATCTCAGTTTTTCAGAATCACACCACACCCAGGGTCAGAAGCAGAAAACTTCAGCTTTTGCAGGCACGTGACGGTAAACAGTGGTAATGCTCTACAACATTCTTGCACCCAATGACTCCTGGCAGACTTTACTTTCAGGAGTTGTTCCAGCTTTCTAATAAAAAGAATCTGTATTTGAACTTTACATTTAAATCAGCTAAACAGATTTTATCTGCATCAAAAACAAAAAGGTGTGAATGCTGTAGGGAAGGACTCATGCTCTCTGTGTGAAAGCAGTAGTCTCTCTGCGGAGGTCTGGCACGCCCCCTGCTGATTCAGACTTATAGCTCTACAATCAGCAGGGAGCATTGGACCTTTGCAGAGAGGCCACTGCTCCTTGTGCTCCTGCCAGCATGCTGCAGGAGCACAAGGAGTCAGTCAATTGCATTGAAGTACTCATGTGCTAACAAGAAGCATACTGATAGGAGGAGAAAACAGACTGACAGAGCAATTAGCTCATGAATCTATAACTATTATAACAATAACCAATCTACTGCTTCTTTAACCGTGCAACCATAGGCTGGTGCAGGGACAAGACCTGTACCTTGTTCTAAAGTGCAGCAAAAAAAAAAGAGGACTCCTGGGCTGCCAGACAGAGCTGTGTAAACCTGTGGCAGCTAAAACAGCTCCCTTATATGTAATACATCTGATTGCCTGGAGCTTACCTTTATGTTTTTTTTATTGCATAGCATGATTCAATGAGCAAAAAAACTACAGTCCCTTTAATTAAATATACCTACATTACAACTTGAAAAATACTAAGGGGCTGATTCATAAAGGGTTTGCCCAGTGCACAGCTGGGCGAATGTCATTTGCATGGCATTACTGCTGGTAGGTGAATCTCAGGAGCATAGAACTTCCTATGCCCATCGACTCCATCTAGAGGCAGTAATGCAGTGCAATGCATGCAAACGCAATTCACCACGCTAATTGCTAGTGAACCTTTTATATATTAACTAACCCTTAAGAGCATACAGTAATGAACAAGTGCCAAGGGGAACCAATCATATTTCAGTTTATTGTAATCAGAACAGGTCATACACATTGTGCTAATTCTAGGTCCCTCGAGACAGAACACGACAAGCTTAGACATGCTGGATCAGCACTAAAGTGCCTCTGAATATTATTGTAATATGGTGGCATCCATACCAAAACATATCCACCCACTGAGCATTTCCAATATTGGATGTTTGCATTGAAAAGGACCCAGGTCTCTTCTAATCCTTTTTTCCCCTCGGATGCTGAAATGAAATCAGATTGGTTGGTGTAGGCACATATGGAGGGTGGTCAGAAGAGCAGGCACCAACCGATGGTCTTCTGGCATAGTCATAAAGGTAAGCCAGATTGGGCAGCTATCATCTCACATTTGTGGGTGTCTGTACCATGTGTTGCACAAGGCCATTACTCTTTAAACTTTCTTATTGCATAAGCTCCTGGGAGTGGTTATGCTTGTCAGTTTTTCCCATTCGTTGAGAGTATAAGCAAATATGCATTGAACAATTAATTTTCCTATTTTTTATCTTATCAGTCTTCAGCTCTGATAGGCCTGACATACCATACCATACCATTCCATTTTCCACACCTTAAAGCAAACCAAGTCATCAAAGGTTAAGTATATTGATTGGGTCATAAACCCACAGGTCCGTTTGTCCATTTATTCTTTCCCAATAAGAGGCCCAGGAAGCAAATCCCCAAAGCACTCTGGCGAGATGCAACCTATTACCATCTTGCATGGTCAACAGCCTGAACGTCCCTTCTAGGACTGTTCCCTGTGTCCCACTATTGGCTGGTAAAGCCATCCATCACAGCAGTGGGCCTATAATGAGACACAGAAGGCTGGAAGGCATCCAGGTAGTGCCTTGACCATGGGAACTAGTCAACATCTATCAGACACCAAGGGGCTCCCAGTGCACACAATAGGCAAACCTAACTGACATCCTGGCAATTTGTTAATGCATACATGCACTTTTTTGAGGCCCCACAAGCAAAAAAGTTTCAGAAGAAGTCATAAAATAAAATGAACAGAACGAGAAGTAGGAGTAGAAATGAGCAAGTAAAATAACTAATAGAATTCAAGAAAAACTCCAGCTTTGTTAAGATAATATTATCCCATTAGAGTACAAGATGACCAACACCTCTAACATAATGAAATCAGTTATATTAAGGAATTAATTATACCAGAGGTCCATCTGGCTGGTCTGCCTATTAGCTGACCGGAGTAGTGAAGTCAGCCTTACTGCTCCCATTCACACAGAAACCAAGGCAGATAGGTGACTCTGCATAGGCGGGGAGAGCAAGGAGGGGCCGTGGCTGTGCTAACTCCTCCTTCAGCACCCATACCTGGATTTTAGTTATGTTGCACTTATTTATGGCCAACATATTGACATGGCTTCCAGTGTGTTGCCTGCATATTTGTGCAGTTGCCCCGTATTACTAAATTTCAGTGCTTTGGTGATACCTGTGGGGGTGTGGGACCAAGGCAGCATTGTTGGTTTTGGAGACCATATTACTATAAGTTAATCACCCTACAGTCTTGTCAGTCTTAAACTGTGCCCCCTTAGATTCCTTTAGTCTATTCACTTATTTGGCACAAATGGCTAGCCCCCCCTGCAGAATCTAAGACTGAGTTACACAATTTCCCAGGTATATTTAATTCTGAAGCAGAAGGCAGCTAGCAAGCTGCTGTCTTAACATCAAAAGAAGAGGCTTGTGTACCATCAAAGAAGAGCTCCCCTTTAACAAAGGAACCTTTGCAAGCTTTACTTGAGCAAGAGCCCTATCCAGATCTTTGTCCTGTTTCATTGTCTGGACTCCAATACTAGGAGTTCTTAAGTACTCTTATTTTTATTCCATTTTATTTTTACTGTTGTTATATTTCTCTCTTTTATAACATCTTTTGTGAAACAATACTTTGTAAAAGAACAGAGACATTTCCTATCTGGATTCATACAATCAAAAAATGTAAAGGAATCATTAATACTTTTCTAAAAATTACCCTACAACATCCCCTATGGACTCTCTGTGTTGATCCATGGGGATATAGGATAAATGATAACCCCTATAGACTCATGAACACCGCCTTAAATATACACCCAAGCTGGTTTTTAATGTAATTAATAATACTGGAAATTTTTAGCATTTAATCATTGCTGATCTATCCTAACGGATAAGATCATGCACAATTATTCCTCCTTCATGCATAGTTGTATCTATAAGTCTATTGCCTTATTGGAACTCTTTCTGAACTCATTTTCATTCTCATTTTTATTAATAATTTTAGAAGATCGTATTATGGATATCCTAAAGCAATTTTTAAATAATATTCAATTATATTATATATATTCTGGTTTGATATATAAGTGATTACCTAAACTGTTATTAATATTTTAAAGTTCATGCACCCAAACATCTACCTACACTCATGTTGATCTATGCGCCAACACAATTGGATTAGGAGTGACACACAAATTTTATATTAATTTTTAGAATTAGCACTATAGTATGATAGATACACATTTTATTATATGGATATAAAGTTTTTAAAGCTGTTTTATTGGCATATTTGATTATTAAAGTTTAATGTTTTATTCTGTGTTTTGTACACTACAACCTTCACTATGATTAACTATTAGGAATTTATGGCATATTCATTCAACACCGCATGAATCATCTCCCGGAAGCTTATCTTATTGAGATGCTTTCTTTTAGAACAAAAATATTTTATATTTTAAGTAAACGACATTGATGGGAGATTTTGTTTCCTTTATACCCACTCTGACATTATTTGTAATATAGCACAGCTGGCATTGTATAGGATGTGCATATGGAAGTTAATTGATGTGGGCTTTGATTGATCGTGTTATATAAAGTCGGATGGGAGAGGCAATTATCCTTTTTGAAGAAGTCCAGACGAGACGAAACGCGTCAAAGGATTCCTCTCCTACGTATCCGGTGATTCTACTAGTTGAGTGTCCTTTACACTTAAATGTTTTGAACCATCTAATATCCTGTAAGTGTGAACCTTCTTGCGTTCAATAAATTTGTTTAACAACTACACATCTACTTACTAGCTTGGAGGAGGGAGGAAGGAGGAAAGTAGGAGGAGTGGGGAGCAGGGAGGGGGTGAGTAGCTTGCCCTGTTGTGTCTGTGTGTTTGTGGAGACACACACAGCTTACCGGCACACACAAGGGTGGCTCCATAGGACCCTGCAAGGAAAAGAAGCCACCCTAAAACAGGATATAAGGGTTAGTGCTCAGGAGACCAGCTGATTCTGCAGGAAGCTAAACTTTTAAACATCAAGGGAGCAGCGTCCATTGTAAGTGATCAGCATTTAGAATAGCTAGGAATCCTTACGATTTTAATATCACTTTAACAAGCAGTGGGACTGAAATGGATCTGAACCACAACTGGGTTCACACAAGA